ATATATAAGTAGGGTTATTATCTTAAGCTATATTTTTTTTCTTCATGAACCCATTTCTTTGCTGCTAAGTCTACTTCTTTTACTGTTTCTCGAAATGTACCAGGAATTTGAGGAAACTGTAGGCTCTAGACATGGATTTCAAATGACATTGTGATATGAGGAAAGCATTTTGCAGTCTTTTCGAAAGAGTTATATCTTCTGACAATTAGAGGAAATATTACAGCTTATTACAGGCCACAATCGAGGGATTGGGCATATCGAGAGGCTCATTTGGAGATTGCGCGAAGAGAAAAAGCTGGGTTACCATATATCAGCAAAGACTTGATTCAACCAGACAAAATTGTTCTGCCATCTGATGAGGAACTTCAGAATTTCGAAATTATTATTTAGATGATTTTGGGTATTGTAAATATGCTTTATTTTAGGAATAGTCTAATAGTTTGTTACTTCAATTTCGTCAAATTATCAAAATATTCAGTGAAATGAAATGCTGCAGTTAAAATATTTCATAGAGATGTCCATGTAAGGGATCCCTGGTTCATCGGTAATGCACATATCTGATGTGTATCTTTAATTATTTATAAAAACAGATCAACAGTGATTTTGACCACTCTGTAAAATTTCGACTTCAAAATTATAAAATTCTTAAATCCTCAAACTGATACACTTTTTTTCAAAAATTTGTCGATTGAGTACCACTGTTCATGTTAAAGTTAAATGTAATACACATTTTATCAGTTGGTGGATGCAGTATACAAGAATAAAGTGTTATAGATTCGTGATCCATGTGTTTGTGAGGCGCAGTGTATTTAGCATTGGGAAAAGACCAAATGGATGATGACACTATTGCTTTAAGTGAAGGAATAACAAAAGCAGTTTCACATCTATTGTAATCTGTAACATTATTCCAGTAGGGAGATCAGTAGCTCAAGAATCATCTCCAAGCTTTAAGTTTGTTCGTCTGACCTTCTTGTTTCACTTCTTCACGGACGCTATTCCTGTTTATCGAGCTCGTCGTTGCTTTCAAGAATCCAACTACAAAACAAATTTTTCATGAACTTGCATTTACTGAATATTCCTTTTTCGGGACCTGTATTTTAGGTGGAGGGGTTAATGAGTAATTTAAAACAAAGTCATGAAATTGGAAAAGCATGGAACTTGCTTCTTTCGAAAGCTGGTTTTCGATTAATGGCAAGTTGGGCGGCTAATTTTGACAGTTCGAGTTTAACCGCTTTGCCGTTTGCTGTCGTTAATAATCCTTTCGGATACTTGCATCTCCAACTGTTCAAATCTTAAAAATATAGTTCAAGAGGAAGCGAGAAAGCTAAACTTTTTCTGTCGAAACGTTTTACTGCCTCCACGTCCCATTTACTCAAGCTATCTGAAAAACCGTTTTTTCAGAGTTTTTCGTCGTATCAAGAAATGTTTCAGATCTGTACCTCCTCTCAACAGAACTGCATTGTGTCCCCTGTCACAAAATGTTGACACAACTTGTCCAGCTCCATAAACTTGACCACAAACAATCAGTGTTCCTTGCATGCCTACTCTTTTCATTGATTCTGTTTCATAATGTTCACGGCATAAAAGGAATCGTGGATAATGTTCAGCTGCAAATTTCCAAAATTACTTTTATAAATTGGTACGTATAAATCGCTTTCTTGACAACTCAAATACATGCCAAATTTTATAATGAACCTCCGATAATATGTCCTTTAGCGAATTGTTCTTCTGGTCGAACATCTAGAATAACAAGTGGTTTCGCTGCTAGTGCTTTCTCATCAATCAATATAGCAACCTGGAAATACTTTTCCTCAATGAACAAAGAGAAAGATACCTGGCATATTTTGATGTTTGTAATTCCGATGCCGGAAGAATATAAAGAGATTAAATATAACTTGTCACCAACTAATATTTTAAAGAACTGTCGCTTTCAATTTCGAGTAAACTTACAACTCCATCGATCGAAATGGTAGGTGACGGCAGAGCATTAAACATGATTGCTGAGGTGGAAACGGAAGCCTGGAGGGACTGAGTCCTGACAGGAAAGTCGTTGCCCCGGTAACGACTTTTTGTGCCATGATCCAATTAGTCTCAGTTCCTCTACTGTTTATAAATTTGGTATGAAGTGAGAAATTATTTCTCAAAATTTTCTCCCTTCTAGCCAAATATCCAGTGGGTAAATGGTTTCCCTGGAAGTAGTTTTTGGTCCAGATATCATATGTCCCAAACAGAAAAAATTGAAGAATTTCCAAGTTTTTTAAGGGGATATAATGTTTCGAAATTAGGCTTTCATAATTCCCAGATTGATTGTTTCCTGAAAGATACAATCACTATGGAAGTTCTAAATCAAACACGTTCGAATAATTTGCAATGTTCAAAACCGATTCCACAATTTATTACAATGCCTTTTATCAATGATTTCAATAAAATTTTGCAGTAGGATCAAATATGACTTTGAAAGCCTCGAGATCACATACTCATCAGTTATAATGCAGTTTAAAAACACGGAAGATGATCTCATCTTGAACCATCGACAGTAACAAGAGAGTCATTTGCATAGCGCGCACTGCATAATATAACTGCAACATTTATCAGATTTTATACAAACTGATCAATTCTCAGAAATAAAAGTTTTTATTCTTACAAAGCATTTGCTGAAGTTCTGATTATCGCACTATTTAATTTCTGTTAACGTACTGCAAAGTTATTATTAACAAAACATTTTACAATTCAAGGCTTACCGATGAAAATGTAAAGAAATAAACAAGTATCGTAGGAAGAAGAAAAAGTAATATGATGAAAAATAGAGTAGCTATGAAGAGCTGTCTAGTGTCCAGTTTTACTGAATCGACCCTTTGACGTAATGGATTATATTTTCGACCACGAAATAGTCTCCAAAGTGATTTTATTGACATCACAGACAATGTGGCTAATCTGTAAGAGTGACACAGTTTTTAAACTCTTTCGACGAAAATGCTCACTTTCAAGATTATACGAAAAAACAATGTCACTTGCTTAAAAGCGTAAATATGGAAGCAGTATATATGCACAGTAAGTAGCCGAAGGAGATCAGATAAAGCAGCGAAAAAAACGGATAACCCGAAAAAACAGGATAAAGATATGAAACCAAATCCAATATAAACACTTGCCACTGATAAATAAGCTGAAAAAGAAAAAGAAATGTGTCAAATTAGCTAGAAAATTATACTATCTTTGAAAAAATTATCCTATCTTTTGAACTTGATGATTTCTGTGGTAGTATATTTAGAATTTCTTTTGTAAGACTGCACGTATTAGGGCATAAATAAAAAAGTAATAAAAATCACGATATCAAGATCCATCACTTTTTTCGGATTTCATTAGGCCAGTTTAACTTACTTTGCCATAAGTAAATATGATAACCAAAAAACTGTGATAATATAGTATTCAAATGAGCATTTAATTTCAAGCCAGCAGGATATGTCGTGAGCCAGTGTATCAGCTAAAAACTGACAATATTATTTGAATGATTTAGAATTCTCTGCTCATGCTATTTTCCACTAACATTCCTCGACTTTAATAATCTGAAGATCTAAATGAAAATGCAACCTCTTCCAAATTAGTGATCATCATAGCAAGCCCATCCCAAATATAACCAGAGAAAAAATCGACTTCCGTCAGTTCTTTCCAAACGATTATACCAAGGATGGTATCCAGAATTTGGCGTTGTATCCTAAAGAATCTTTCATGTTGCATGCTAACACAGCTTATGTAGATTAGTCTGAAATGTTTGCAAAAAAACCGACCGACACGAACCTCTCCATTTGCACTGCAGTCTGGACACAACTGCAGAATATTTTGCAAGTAACGAAATAAGAACGGATAACTGGTAAAGCAGATCAGACATTGCCGCAAACTCCTTTTTTGTTCAATAGTGTTTCGTCCCACGAAGTTCATTCACCACCTCAAACCTTGATTTCCTGAAACAATCAGTAACAGCAAAAGTCATTGTAGGATATCTTATTCTCCGGTAAAACTAAGAGTATTATGCATAACTACCACTTCCAAACCTTATCTCGTTTCTCAAATACCCTTATGTAACACCGATTCAATATTGTCAAGCACTCCAATCCATGAACATCATGTCAAAGCAGTTGTCATATATAAATTATTTTTCAAAAGTAGTCATATCGTAAATCTTATCCAATGCTTAACTTTTTGCAATTCTTTTTCTCGTTATTATAAAACATTACTGGACATAAAGCTCCACCATTAAGAATCAAATTTATATTTTCTCTCCATTTACACTGTTTAAAATACACTCCTGTTACAAACAGCGAAAAAATCATACTAGAAAAAAGTTGATAAGAGTTACATGTTTATGTAATAAAATTATTTACAAAAATTTGGACCATAAATGGCACAAACACAATTTTAATACATAACAAGTTACATGAACTTACTATTATAACATTTTTTAGAATTCCTCAACTAACTTATATGCTTTCCATTCATAACAAACTGAAATATTCCACGGCACTCAAACTTTTATGGAATGTAGCATGGATTAGAATATTTTTCACCTTCCAGAAAAAAAATAAACCACAAATACAATAAAGATATTAACATTCCAGAAGAATTACTGCAATTTCCCAACAAATAATTGTGCATCCTCTGATGTACCAATTATGATGACACATAGAAGTAAACTTTCCATAAATCTTTAATTTCGCTTGTACTGATTCTGGCATTCTGGATAGTAATAGGCGAGGAAGCTTAAATCCTCTTTTCGCATTATATAAATAAATAATTGTGCATCCTCTGATGTACCAATCATGATGACACATAGAAGTAAACTTTCCATAAATCTATAACATCGAATATTAACTCGAATTCTGCATTTCCAATAAAGATAATTAAGAATATTAGTAAATTATAAGCATACAGGAATAAATAACATAAAATTGATATTCCTGTATTCAAAGAGAACTAAGATAATTAGCAGATCTGACAGCCAACAAAAATGCAGCACATAAAATTGTATTTCACAAATAATTTAGCATTGATAAATAAAAAATACTGACCTATAAAATCAAGTTTCTTGGTTACAGTCACAAGAATCAGAACTGACATGGTGACTCAACTTCGATACAATAGTGTCAGCAGATACAATATGATAGCGCAGATAATGTCTGCAAAGTAATTAGGCGAGAAAGTGGAACCGATTGTCCAACTTTTGTATAATTTTTGAGAGCACGTATTTGCACAGCATTTCAATTGTACGTTCGAAAAACGAGAGATTTCAGTGTTTACTGCATAAAATCCAGTAATTCTTTCACTTCGCCAAATCATCGGCCCATATTTCTGTCATCTCTATTAAAGCAAGCAAAACATTAGCGAAGGATTCTGCTGAAGTTGACGATACTAAATAGAAAAATGCTATGTAAAGGTAATTTCCTAATATGCAATATTATTAATTCCTAAATAGATCCGATTATACAAAATATCAAAATCAACGTATTTAGATACTACAGACAACGTATCCTAGTTTATTTGCGAAAAACTGAATTCAGCAAAAATAATGAAAAATAAAACAAGTTCCGTTTTTAGCCGCTCCTAATGAAGGTCCGTATGTGCAAGGACACATACGTTCATTAGGAGCGGCTAAAAACGGAACTTGTTTTCCAAAATGATATAATACATTACTATCGCCTGTCATAGATTCATACACTCTATTTCCTAGTCTTTTCGAGAAAACGACTGAATTTACAATCACAGTGTTCAGCACGAACAAACCCTGTTGCACTAGCTATATATGTTTAAAAAAATTTTCACTAATGAAACTCTTGATAGCAGTTGCAGCGAATATCCTGCAATAAAAATCAGAATTAACTTCAAATATTGACGTTGAAAGAAGAGTAGAATATGGAAGTTTTTGGGAGATCTGGAAACTATAAAGTAGGTCCTCCAATCCAAATAGTAGCAATGTCCCACGTCAACTAAACTGTATGATGCATATGGAATTATTGACAAATGAATGTCTATAGAGTCTTTGTAAAAGTGTGTACCAACAACTTCAGCATAAACTCCTAGAAACTCGTCATATCACTTCACCTTCGAATCCCTTCCCCGAACATCACTTTTTATTCATTTTGCCACAGGCAACATCTTTTAACTGAATCACCAATCCACATCTGCTTATGAAGTAGTATTTTAGGTTCACTATTTCCTCTATGAGGCATAAAATAAAGTGTCACACCCTCTGAAAAAAATCGAAAAATATAACCAGCAAGTTCCCAAAAACCCATATTCCAACCAGAAAGTGTAAATCGATGACTAGTAACTTACTAGGAACTCCACACTCAAGGAAAATAATTGCAATCCCTGATACCGAACACGAATTTTCAAGGGTTACCAGTACCTTTCGGCAATGATCACAACATACAGATCCCCAATCTAGCGTGCGTGCATTCCTACGCAACCACGTTAAGATAAGAAAAACAGACGAAGAGCAAACTCCACTAAAACTAATGATATTCACTCCGCAAAAGATAGGAAAAAAAAGAAGTCACTAAATGCGATATAGTTCACTGTCTGTCAGCATTGTAGACCACTGCCTGATACTCTAGTATAATCTGATATCCCGAGTTAATTTGTTGCGTTCCAAGAAAGAACTTTCTGTTCATGCCATCGACAATGGCTGAAAGAGTCAAGAACAGCGAAAGTCTAAAGAATAAACTGAAACTATTTAAACTGAGTTTATTTAACTAATGAATATGGAAAAGTTTCACTGCCATCATTCACGTGTACAAATTCGAATTCTGCAAAACAATTTATCATGCCTAATTAAGCAGATTCTACTGAAGTTAATTTTGCACACGATAGTTACATAAATTAAATCAGATACATCAAAAAAAGTCTAACTAGTAATTGCATATGAAGAAAAAAATTCAATTATGTATAGCCAGACAACGGTAAGATTACTCAGGAACATGCTCTATAATTTTCCGGCTGCTTCCAGCTTTTTGCGTAACGACAGTGGCATTTCTGGTGGTGGTGGACGTGGCAATTTAAAATACACTTTCACAGAATCATAAATAAACCACTGTAATGCCGTAAGCGTTCCTATCATTATAATGCGAGGTAAAAGTCCTTTCCAGAGACCTGGAAATATAACCGCTCTTCCATTTATGTCACGAAATATCGATGACTTCAGTATAAACTTTAAAAAGTTTTAGCTAAATATAAGTCCTTAAAACATCATTCAAAAACCTCCAATAACAAAACAAATTTAAACTTACCCATGAAACCCAATTTTCTGGCGACTGCACCCGCGGAAGAGCCAGAATCTTGGTTGAGTTTGCTAACAATTGTATCCGCTGGATGAGAAACAATGGCACAGAACACACCAGCAATGTAACCTGCTACGAACGTGACTACTAGTTGTTCTTGCTTCGTGCATTCGGAACGTGGTTTTGGTACCACATACCTGTATAATACTTCCAGCGTACGTTCAAAGCAAGCAAATTTCATCATGGTGTAAGGTATTTGGCGCATCCAAAGTGGTGGCAGACCTGAAAAGCATTCATGTCACTTAAATAAAAAACGTACTAAGATTTGCATAAACTTTCATTTTAGTTCTTTTCACCGCTGCATCTTTCTCAAAATCAAACACATAAAGCACCTTAACACAGACCATCATATAACAAAATTAAATAATGTACTTACCTTTGTAAAAACCTGTCATTCCTTCATTTCTGTATATCATTGGTGCACAACCGCGAAGCGTTGGCGGAGCACCTGGAGATGTCTGCACGCGAACCTTCGTAGCTTCCATTGGTGCCAATAACATGTCGGCAAAAAATTCTGCAGATGCAGAAGCAACCAAATATAGACTTGTACGCCACTGATACGACAATTCCTAAAACAGCAAAACATAAACATCACCAAGAGACTTTCCGAAAACCTAGAATTGTTTTGAAGTGTCCAAAAAACAAAAGACGAGAAAAACACTTTGAAACCAGTGGGGCCATCAGTTTAAAAGCAAAATCAATTGACAGGAAGGAACCTAATATTGCATATAACATGAATGAGAAAAACAACATAACCATACCTCACCAAGCATGTCACTGTAGAAAATCTTAAACATCTCGTAAAAACCAAATTTTCCGAGTCCTTGGAGCGAATAACCAAGTAATGTTGGTGCCCATCCTTTCCCCAAAGCACGAAAGCCTTCCTCTTTCACTGTGGTTTGGAAGCCTTTGATAATTCCTTTGTATTTTTCCGGATTTACCTAAAAATTAGCACTAACTCAAAAGGAAACCACTCACGCAAACTTCAAAACAAGTGCAGAAATCCTACAGTTCTTGTGTACCATTTAAATTCAATACCTGTATTCGACACTTGACAAGATCAAGAGGAACAATAGCCGTGTGTGTGGTACCACATGAGATTACCCCGCCTAGACCACATAGAAGGAAATATTTAACAGAACCAAATTCCACTTCATCATCTGCTTTATCTGCAAGTTAAAAGCAATTACACAGTCGAAAAATATAAAAGAAACAAAAAAATAGTGGCACAATAACTTATATGCTATGTAAACTTCAAAAATCTAGCGTTAAGATGCTGTACAGAGGAAAGAGCAACAGTTGTTTGGAAAGAAATTTACATTTTTAAAGCTAAAACTTTCGAAAAATTTTCTTTTAAAAAAGGATTGCAAAAATTTCACGTGCAGGCTTTTAACAGCTCCGTGCAAGCACTAAGGATGAAAAAGACCTCCAGTAATTGTCTAAAACTGAAAGGATGATCACCAGCATATCCTGGTAGCACAATAACTGGTACCACGTCAACAATGGTGTAAATGAACAAAACAAAAAAACTAGCATATTAACATAAATATTGGCGACGTTAGTGTGGGTTTATCATGCATTGGTGCATACAATGCCAAAAAGCAAAAACCCGAAAAATTTTCTCAATCTTGAATGACATTTTCCATTCAGCACAACCATATATTACTGCCGTAAAAAGTAACAGTAAACGCAAGAAATCATCAACCTTATAATTATCCATTATTCGGCTTGAATAGCAAAAAATGTGTCAGTTATGGAAAACAAGGTTTCACCCAAACAGCAGCATTAACTACTAAGAAAAAGAAATGTAAAAAAGATATATGTACATAGATGCATGTTAAGTAATGCCTTGTTCTGTTCCACACCATTGTTATTAACACTGATACAATTACACTGACAGTATTATCATATCTCGTTTTTCTTCCAATATTATCTACAGTTTGATGCATATCTACCTAGTAAATTCACTGATATAAGTTTGCTGATATCAACAGTATCGACCGTACTTCGTATACTACTATTCTCATAAAATTTACGAAGGAGTAGAAAAGTATTGCCAATAAAAAGCATACCAATGTTGCCGCCTACTGAGGCACAAAATAGATTGCGTATTGGCAAATATGGAAATATCGATGATTTAGCTTCAGCTGATCGCTTCACAAGATCGTTACTATTAGAGAGTGCCATTTATACCTAGTGAATTAGCTGTATTAGAATGCATTCGAGGTTTTATCGAATTAAAGACGATGGTTTCATAATGAAGTCTAGTAACCTGTAAGTATTCATGAAGTACATGTAGAACATCACATCCAATTCAGAAATATACCCAGTCAAGTTTATGACCCAATATCACATGGAATTAAAATTATTTTGTGAAAAGCACCGCCCTAATTTGAAAATTCCTATTACTCTACAAACAATTCTTGAGTCATCAAATCAATTTAAAAAGTTTAGGAAGAATGAGACCGGATTGACTGAAAATAGATGTAACTTAATTGCATCGTGTCAAAAATCCTGCAAGAAAATAGAAGAGGAGAGATTGTGTTCTAAAGAGAACACAAAAGGATACAAAATACCAAACTACAACACTTCCCACCACCTCCTCGAAAACTCACGGACACTCAAAATCACCCCATATTCTCACCACCGTAACCATTTTCTACCTCAACACTTCATGCCAAACACTTCAAGTGTCACATCAGCTTATGAAGCACAATTGTGCAGAATGTTCTAGATTTATTGATGTTTAAATTACTTTTTCTCACGGTGTCATCATTCCTACAGATTAGCGGGAGAGGTCTGGTCTTGTGCGATTTTCTCTGTGTTTGACATTATTTCTACTTCACGGAGAGTATTTATTCCACTGCGGTCATATTTGATTTCCAGATTTGAACATTTCACTTCCACTTTGCCACCCTTCTCTTCTATTCGTCTCTTCCGCCGCTCTGTTCCTCTCTTTTCATTTCCCCGGAAAAAGGAGGAAGAGATGGGAACAGGGCTGCGAAGGATAGCCAAAAATTTACATTTTATTCCTCACTGACTTCTATTTAAAATATTATGATCAAAAAATAAGCGTTGGTCTTTCGGAGATTTATTAATTATTTCTCAGTTGCAGTAGGAATACTCTTCAATCTAATTAATATTAGAAATTGTTGTACCAAAAACAAATACTACCATGTAAGTTCACGCCTTTCTTCGTCGCTTCGCCTCGCGGGACTCATTTTTTCGGCTGAGGATTCGATAAGATGGTTTATGATTTCATAAGCTTGAAATACTCAAATTAAAAAAATTGGGTGCTACTGCCAAATTCTAGTCTGTTAGTTTCTATCTTAGATTAACTTGTTGTAAGTTGTGTCATTTCACTCTTCTCAATATCAGTGAAAAAGATAAAAAGGTACGTGACTGTTTTAATCCGTAGTTTTTTCCTTACATTTCAGATCCGAACTAAATCTTTTGTTTGAGTACATTTTGGTAATACACAAAGCCATGCGTGAAGATCGATCAAAAGCAATGGCCATATTTGGCAAGCACGACTATCTGTTGCGCTTTTGGAACGACCTTACTCCGGAGGAGCGACAGCAATTAGTGGATCAATTTACTATGTATAATATGCACGAAATAGACAAAGCATTCAAGGAATCTGGAATTCCAATGGTATGTCAGCGATTGCTGATATTGTGAATTTTCTATTTTTTAAATTTATTTGAGTAAATTGTGATTATGAATTTTTCTGGCATTATAGTATAACAAAGGATGTTTTCTTTGAATATCTTGAAGTTTTTAATTCTCTACAGAAGTTGGAAGGCTTGGCACCAATATCCGGAGATCGCTATTCTGTTGCAAATGATATTGATGAAAATATTATGAAGGAATACTGGCATATAGGTACTAATATACTGTATTGAACTGTTTACTGTGCTTCATATCAGTTAATACAGTTAAGATAACCGGTATATTCTGGATGGTTCTGATGTCTTTTACTGCAATATTTTCAGTTGTTTAATTTTGATGTTGGTTTGGATTTTTCAAGCTGATCACGCATCCGCTGAATACGTATTATTTAATAATGCTTAGGTTTGGAAGCAATAGCAAAAGGAGAAGTTGCTGCTGTGGTTTTGGCAGGCGGTCAAGCAACACGGCTCGGATCAGCGGTACCCAAGGGTACCCTTTCCTTGGGATTCACTGAGTGTGACATAACTGATTCATTATTTGCCATTCAAGCGGCTCGTATTTCACGTCTACAAGATCTTGCTCGAATGGCATTCCCGAATTCAAAGCCTAAGATCTGGTGGTATGGTTTTTCTTCAATTCTGATCATTCTGAAGCATCCTGTGATTAGAAGTGGTCCATCATTAATGTAATAACTTTTATATTAGAAATTGTAAGCATAACTAATCCATATACTCACAGTTCATGTCATCCTTTATGAATTGCTTATTCTGGGTTTTGTATGAAAATTATTGCTATAAATCAAATAAATTAGGATTGTATTGACGAGTTCAGCTACCGCAGAGGCAACACTGAAGCATCTTCGTGATGTGCTTCCTGTAGCTATGATTGATCCAGGACAACTTATAGTGCTTGCACAGCGATCAATTCCATGCTTCGACATTAATGGTGGCTTATTCTTGTCTTCGAAGAGCAGTTTCGAGGTTTCTCCAAGTAAGCATTCTGTTTATTGCTCCATCTAACACATCATCTTCACTGTAATTTAATGGATCTTACTGAAAAATTATTTCAGATGGAAATGGTGGCCTTTATGAATGTTTGGAAGCGCACTGTACTTCTTCTTTAAATAATCAGATCAAGTATTTTCATGTTTTTAGTGTTGACAATGTTTTGTGTCGTGTGGCTGATCCTCATTTTATCGGATATTGTATCAAGAACGATGTAGATTGTGCCGCAAAAGTAGGAAATTACGTTAATGCAGTTTGGCTATCTTTATTATCATTATTTAAGTAAGCATCGAATGATTAGCCAGTCTTATTGGTCATAACAAATAGTTAAAATTTTCATGCGTTTGATTCATTACACTGCATAATTAAAGGAGGTTTAGTGTTTATTCGGAAACTTCTATAATTCTGGAAATTACGATTCGTTTGGCATTATTTTGGAAACTGTTTTAGGTTGTAGAAAAAATTGATCCCTTTGAACGAGTTGGTGTGATATGTCAAACATTGGATGGTGTTCAAGTTGTTGAATATTCGGATTTATCCACAGAACTATCTTTGGCTCGAGATGATTCTGGACGCCTCAAATTTCGCGCAGGAAATATTGCAAGTCATTTCTTCACTTGCGACTTTGTTCACGCAGGTTTGTGAAGAACTGTCTTTTAACTGACTGAAAAGATAGTTATTGTACATATGGGATGGAAGTATGGATCGTTTTGAAGAAGGTAATGTGAAATGTATGAGTTTGAGATTGCTATGCTCGACATGTAGATAGCATGAAAAGCGGAATCAATGTGTATGGTAATAGAATGGGAAATTAAATTTCATCCACCTTTTTAGTTCATTTCTTGTCTAAGTGGATTTTTTGACTAGTTTCATTTTGGAATTCCAAATAATCCAGAATACGTTTTACCCTCCATTTCTCACAGTTAAAAAGAACAAGAATTTGAATTAGATTTGCGTTCATTTCGTTCATTAAATTTGCCCGATGTAATTTTGCTTTTTCAGCAGCCACTTATAAATTGCCTCTTCACCGTGCCTTCAAAAAAATTCCATTTATTGATCGAATGACTGGAATGTTAGTAAAACCAGAAACAGAAAATGGCTACAAGCTTGAATTTTTTATTTTCGATGCTTTCAAATGTGCTAAGTAAGTTTTTTCATGTATTATCAGGATAACGATGATCATCCGATCATTCAGTGCAATACGTCTGTTGAAGATAGCGCACTTGCAATTTGGAATGAACGATACAGCTTTCATACGTAGTTGTTGTCCTTGATCATCAGTTCGTTCCTTTCATTAACATGAGACAGTTTTGTTACGTTTATCGCCAAACTAAATCTTCACACTTTTGTAACTCTAACTTTTTCTTCCGTAATTCATTCCTATGTTTTTATTGGTTGCAGAAATTTCCACGTGTGGGAAGTTAAACGTTCAGAAGAGTTCAGTCCTTTGAAAAATGCAGAAAGCGTAGGAAAGGACTGTATGAGCACATGTCGCCGTGATTATTATGCTGAATGTAAGCGTTGGCTTATAAAAGCCAATGTACCAATTCATGTCGATCGTCCCATTTTCATTCATCCTTTCTACTCTTATTCTGGTGAGGTAAGTTGTTGTAACCATGCTAATTATTGCATTCATTAGCAAATTTTTCTTGCAATCGTGAACTATTAATTTACTTTATTTCAATATTTAATAAGGTGTTTTTATTCGATTTATGTGGGAGATTTTGTGTATTTGGACTGTTGTGGCAGTGAATTCGTTACTTATACCTGTTTTAGGATATCTTTCTTTAGTTGTCGTAAAGCCGTATTGAGCATGCAGTAGTATTATCATTAAAAAGCGCATTGCATTGATAGATGCGTATTTTACGGTTGCCTTAAGTTTTACGTTTTCTTGATCTTATTACTGATCGATCCTCGATATTTGTTTCTTTTATGAATTAAGTTTTAGATCATTTATCCTTTATACGAATTCTTCGCAGGTTTTTTAGGTATTTAATAGAATACAGTAATAGTTTTTTGCTTTGTGAGGTTAATAAATAATCTTTTTCAACTGGTCATTTTTTTCAGGGGTTGGAAGAATATCATGAAAGAGGCCTAGCTGGTGATCTGCTTCCATAGACACTGTTTTGGATAATGTTATTCGATCTCATCGGTTAACAGCTTCACTTTTTTGTCTTTGTTTTACGGTAATGTACGCTTTGGTTTCGCCTCATCTTTCATTACTTCACTGTTCATTTTGAAACTTCAAAACGGTATTCATGAGTTTACGGTTTATGGATATATTCATCTTTCATCCAGTCTTTGATCGCTAAGTTTTAACTCAAATTATTGTACTGTTCCTCCTTGTCAATTTTTTTCTCTTTTAAATCGTGAAAGTGTGCCATTATTCTAAAGCGTTGTTCGTTGTTTATGAAACGTTTTATGGTTTTTTTTTCTACCTAATTCTTTACGGTTATGAAAAATATATGTATTTTTTATGAAAACATGTGCATGTGATGCTTTTCAGTTGATTCAGCAATATAATAATTGCTAGTTATAAAAATAAAACGTTTCAAAAGTTAATCCAACTTCATTAAATTATTCTCATTCCAAATTGCATTGAAACTTTAAAAAGTCACAGTCTATTTGTATTACAAATTTCAAATTAAGAAAAACTTGTGTTAATAAAGCGAAGGCACGATGATTTTAAATTGGAAGTGGTTCTGTGGTACCGTTTAGAAGCTTATTGTTAGCAAACTGTACTAGACGTTCGATACACTAGCAAGTTGTTTTTTTTTGAAATTTTTCTGAAAAGAAAAATTAAGATTTTTCTCTAAAAAATCGTTTGAATCCAAGAATTCTTTATTCAGAATGTCGGTTTTCTTTGATGCTGTGAGCAGACTGATGTATGAACAACATTGCCTTTCCACTGATATGGTATGATAAGTAAATTTTTCAAATTTTTAGAAATTCTTAAGCTTTTTTTATGTTTTTGAGTGAAGGAAATATATAATATTGTAATGTTGTTGAAATAAGCTATTATGGGTTGACAACTGATTTACTCGGATTATGAATGTTAATGAAAAGTTGAGCAGGCCATATATATGTTCAAGTGTCCATATGCAAATTAATATGAGTAGTAAGCTAGTCGAGTGGACAATATTGAACGGTAGGGAGCAACGATCGGTCACTCTAATGGCTTGCTGCCAACTGGTCAGTCCATTGTTGTACATGAATTTTACCATGTATACTGTTTGAACCATACTTCGAGATATTTCGAATAAGAGAATATATCATTGCATGAAAAGGTATGTAAGTGAGCTAAAATATTGTTTCATAAACTGCCAGAGAAATAATTTATTTTATAGAAATGTGATACACCACAACAAGAATCTCGTTCATATGAACACTGGTAAAAATCGATTATTATAAAACAGCAGACAATTCCCTTTTCATCACTGACGAATCCATTTTTTTCCGGCGAAGAAACAAAGAAAGTGCATATTGCTTTGAATTGAAGTAATGATAATGTGACAGGGGACAGTCACTGGTTTAATGTGACAAACAAGAAGTGCCAATTTGTTGACAAATGCCAAAATGTCAGATTATTTGGTATATTGGTTGAAGTGGTTTTGATATCCGGTGTATACAGAGTCTTTTTATAGAAATATCTGGAGAATTGAAGCTGAAGGTCGAGAGGTTACAGCTTTAGTATGATCGAGTGGGAAATAGTCACTTAATACCGTATCTATAACATCATTTCCACAAATATTCCATTTTCTGTCACTAACCACATGTGCAAACAGTTGATTGCACATACAATACCATCCAATATGCAAATGACCAGCACTGTTACCCTTCGTAGGAGCTTTCCTCCCTTTTCTTTTTGTTTTTCCTGAAATCTAAAAGCGTTACCAAAATTGCGTTGAAAAACACCTCTAAGATATGATTTTGTAAAGTTTCAAGACTTTTTTTAAATTATTATGCTTGGTAACTACTTTCGACATTTGCATCTAAATTTTAGGATCTAATACTGAAGCCTCAGAAGATGAATATGAATGATATAATGAAGTAACAGTTTTTTCTATTGATTTATTGTCCAAATATGAAGAATTTCATGGTTACATCCATCGTATGTATTTTTCTCATTGTTCATTTATAGTTTAAAATTTCGGATAATTTTATCCTTTGCAATATTATAGATGAAAAGAATCCTGTCAGTTTTACTTCATCACACACTCTAGAAAGTTCAAAAGCATGCAGTAATGTAGTCTTAACCGATGAGTATTCATTCAGCACTTGAAATAATAGCAAGTTCGATTACTGAAGGAGAAATTTGGAAATTATTGAATGAATCAGACAGATATATCAAATGGAATTATTAAAAAATAAAAGGAACCAAAAAGAATCGGCTTGAATAATATTGAACATGTGTTTCACATGAGATGCTGCCGTGGATTGCATCATGAAGATAATCCTACCATTATCATCGGACTTTCCCTTTCCAAAATAACAGAGCCATATTCATCAGTAAATTACTATGTTTCATTAAAAGCTACACTTAAGTTCATGGAAAATTTTAGGTCATTTAAATTTTGAATTTTAACTTACATTAGTTATAAATTGGAATTACTTTATCAGTTCCTCAAAATTACTTGCCAAAAGTCTAGGAATTATAATGATATGTTAACATATTGGTTATAGTACATTCTAGTAGATCAGAAATTATCAAGAATTTACTAACTTTGTAATGTTTTAATGCTGTGTGTTGTTAAAAAATTCCCTCTAGTTTAAAATTTGTAATTTAAAATTTATAAATGTTTGAAGTCCACGAAGAAATTTATTCATCTACGGATCATCAGACAATTTTGACCATAATCTATTGTTTGCATATTGCGGACTCCATTTAAAACTTCGCTATAGTAACTAATTTAGGATGTGAAATTTTTTTTGAAAGTGAATTTTTATGAGCAAATTAAAGTTTTTAAAAAATAAAATATAAAAATTTCATTGTATATCCTCACTATCATGAAAAACGACATGTTTTGGGATTAAGGTTCATTTTAGATTTCAATGTTCGATACTCAAAGCTTTACAAAAGGCTAGTTTTGTCTTTCTGCGTGTAAATGAATGAAACATTTGAGCAAAGAAGCAAAATCTATCATTGGAAAATGTAGAAGTTAGGTAAACTAATAAATAAATGAATAATTTCATTATATTTGTCCGCTTATTTTGTTGTTTGAACTGAATTTGTTCCGAAACAATAATAATGTGACCATTATTGTTCAGGTGTATCATTTGGGTATCACGTAGCAGATTAGCTGAAAACCGCCTTTTTCTTTTTTTCAATGATTACATCAAAAATAAGCGTCTGCCGCTTTTATTGTTTGTCGGCAACTTTCGATACTTGTTACGCATTTCCATGTTCATGTTCAATGCAATTGAATTGTCTTACGATACTTCATTAAAGTCTTTCTTTGACCAAAGCTTTTGGACTGTAGTGCTCAAGCTTAATCCAGCAATATCTTTGAATAATGCAGTCTTTGTAGATCTGCTTATTATTCTCAGTAATATCTTCATTTACACAAATTCTTAATAAATTTACAAAGAATTTTGTAATTTGTTGATTTTCCAAAACAATTTTAATGTAATGATTTAAAATGGAAAAATTTTAATGATTTGATTCGGTGCAGTCGGGAGTGAAAAGCATTTTTAACATTTGCAATGATAACATAAAATGGACTCTTCAGCGGTAGTAAGTAGTTTCAGGCCAACAGCCAAAAGAGAAGCATTTGGCCTGAATATTTGAGAGCCTTCTGAAGTGCCTACTTGGATTGCCTCTTTGCTGTTCTATTATTGTATTACTCTTTTAGCAGTACTTGGCACAGGATGCCATATGCTCCTAGTCTCTAAGGCAATTCTCAAAGCTAGAGCCAGATTTTCCAAAACCTTTTCCTTGAAAAAGTTAGGGTAATATTAAGTGTTATACTATTTTCAAAAGTTCTCATCCATGATCTTACTTATTTCCGAATACTTACAAAGAAGATACAATACAGATGAAGTAGGTCAAATTTCGATAAGGAATCTTTTTTTAATTTTTTAGTATAAAATCGCCTGTGAAACTTGGCAGAAACATATAGTGCAAAAATTATTTTTTCAACATCCGTATATGTGGAAAAAAACTTTCAAATCCGAAAATGCATGAAATAATTTACTGGCTGTGAGCCTTCCATCAGTCAAAATGCAAACAAGGAAAAACAAGATATTTGGCATTTTCAAAATTTAAAAACCTGGAAATTAAACTAGCAATTTGGCTGATTGACAGTAGCGCAGCAGTAGTGCATATAACACCGCTCCAATATATCTATCAATTTTGAGCTGTTCAATTGGGCATGAAAGCGATTTTGAACAATGAAATGCGGCAAATCGCTAATCACTTCCGCCACACTGTTTCCCGTTATTATATGATGTGGAGGATATATCGGGCATCCGCTTACCTTTTCCCTCAACTCCAACAATTTCTTTTCCAGCCTCCTCCCTTTCTCCTCTCTTCTCCATTCCTTCCTGCAAATAGATCGTTGTCAAACCAAACTGTTCAAATTTTCAAAAAATTTTAAATCTCAAAAAAGGATCAAAGTCAGTAATCATATTTATAATTTCTTGCTTGTTGAGGCATAATCCATTAAAAATCATTTTAACAACTATCATGTTTCAATAATTTAATACTTGCTATATCTTTCTTATTCTTATTTACGAAATGATAATTTAACGAAATATTAGAATACCATGCTTGATAGTAAAGATAGGAGTGAGGAAGAAGATGACCACTGAGAGGAGTAATGGCTAATGACTACCAAGTCAAGGAGAAAGACGAATATTTAAGTATGCAACAATAAGGAGAGACAATTGTGTGCTTGTAGAATATCTAAAATGGATTTCTTAGGCGAGCGCATATATCAGACATTTCGAATTTGAGTGGATTTTAATAAATTCATCACGACAGTATTATTTCACACATTTTCCAGAACTGCTTCCTTTAACACTAGCACTTCATTTCTGGATTGTCGACTTTCTGTTAAAATGACAAATCCACTTTTGCAAGACCGGTCAATCATCCAATAGCGATACAAGTAGGACTTCGATCTGAATGGTTGAAAAGTGTGCATACACGCCCACCGTATCCTGGAGAATTATCATTACGCCAATCATCGAAAGGACAGGAAAAGGAAATGAAGAAAAGAGTGAGGGAGAAAGAAAAGAGGGAGTGTTCCGGAAAAGACACACCCATACTGATTGTGGCCAGTAATTGTTTGTTAACTTTCCTCCGAACATTAATCGCACCCATTTACTTTTTGCTCTTCGGCATCAAGTCAATCCCTCCACAATCCCTGATTCGTCTAGGCGATATTTGACACTTTCATATATGCAAACTTCCGGATCATCAACAAATCCATCAAGTATGTTTCTCGCCAATAATAATTCAATATTTATTGACAGAACACTTCAATAGTTCCTCATTTTTCTGAAAAAAATTGATTCACTTTTCAACTTCATCATTGGCGACAAATTATAGAAGTAAACATCGAATTGTCTCTCTCCCAAAAAAAAATAATAACCCGTTTTATTATTTTTTTAATACCTTTCCTTTATTTTGTTTACTCTTAATTACTTATGACTAATTTCAGCATATAGAAATACTCGCTATTTGTGCTTAAAATACAAACAACAATAACTTCACGAAAATCAACATTTGTTAAGAACTGAAGGATAAATTTTAAGGAATTCAGCTTTCTAGTAATCTACTGTTAAGTGTTTATCGTCAATTTTTGATTTCAGAGCCAAGAAAAAGCTTTAATTTTTTTAGTCAGACTTTTGAGAAATAACTACTTAATCTCAAGTAGTTCCAAAACAATTTATTGCAATTTTTCTCAGTTCAAGCTAAATTAAGCAAAAAAATTAATGAGTAAATAAAAATTAGATATCTCTTCGATGCATTCATTAAGAGTTTAAAATTTTTTGGAACAAAATTGTTTGAGATTAAGAATTTTTCTCAAAAATCTGACGAAAATTTTCATTCAAGTGTTATCATAATATTGCGGAGGAAACATTAAGCACCAGGTAATCCTGGGATTTGTAAATTTTAAGGTCTTGAGTTTTCAACAAAAATTAAATTGACTCCAACTCTACAACTTTCAAATTATAGCACCATCTTCTTGAACTTTGAAAATATTTAAATTTATGAATTTATTTGCTTTTCCAGTAATACATTCTGCAAAGACATTATTTTCTTCATAGATCTCTTTCCATTCTTCTCAACATGGATTTGATATTTTAGTGAATTGATATTTTTTTGGAAAGAAAACCCCGCAAATATCTGTTCAGATGAATTAACATTATAACTTATGTATTGCTAATGTATATTAAAAAAATTTAATTACCGTATGTTTAATTTTTTTGCAATTCAACAATTTTTGATTCTAAATAAGATTTTTGTTGAATTATAGAAAATTATGATGTTAAAAATACAAAGTACAGATTATTTGCTTTGAAGATAAAGTATTTCATATCTTATACCAGTTTGGCGATACAACTCTTCTCTATGACGAATAGTTCATGAGTGGTGTTGAATGTAATGCCATTTCAGCACAATGTTATTGTGAATTTAAGTACTTCTGTTTTCAACAACTTTCTGAACATTTCGGTTACAGTAACTTTGAATGTTAGCTCCATGCATTGATAAACTCAGTATGGCACTCTGAAAGAAGTACAGTATTGCATTTATTAATGCATGAAAATATCACTCAATTTTATTTTTTTAAAAATAGTAGTTCAGAACTGATAAAAAAGTAACATTCTTAAAACGAATGAATTGTTAAAGAATGTTATTTTATATTTATCACTTTTCGAATCATCCTCGGAAAAAAATGTTCAAATCCAAAATAAAACAAAAATTCGTTTGATAAATTTTGCAACTAATTTACTAAAACTGCAGGAGCGTAAGCATGTTAACCACGTGACACATGCGTCATCAAGTCTTAACTTAAACATTTTGAAGTAGAATCAATAGAACAATTTCAAACGAAAGTGAATATGTGTTGAACAAATATTTAAGTTGCAGATTTTGTTAGATTTCTTTTCATTTGCTGCCAGTATTAATAAATGTTTGATTTTTTTGCCTCTATAAAAGATATGTATAGGTTCTATATTTTGGAAAGAATCCATAAGTAAAAAGCTTCCTTTTGATATTTAATGAGCTGGCAAAGTGTTAAATTTAGATACATACTGACCTGATTTACTTTTTATATGATTTACTCGTTGCAATTCACAGTTCAATTTTCAGCAAAAAATGTTTACTTAATTACTGACAGCAATTCGAAAAAATATGCGAAAGCTGAATATGATCTATTCAAAGTTTCAATATTAGGGCTTTTTTACGGCAACGAAATCATGGTATTTTTGCGCCGTTATCCTAAATTGTCATTATCAGCATGTTGCCTTTATTTTTAAAATATTTATCAGTCCTGCTTTTCGAACGTTATAGGAATCTCTATTCGATTGATATCAGTAATTTTTAAAATATACTATTATGTATCATTTTTAAAACTGTACTTCAACCACTGAGGTCAGAAATGAATGAAGATAATAGGTGACTTTTTGCACTTGTAACTGAGTTATACAAATATACCTAAGAAAGGCAAAAAATAGATTGCCAATTAACAAAATCTTGTAAGCTGCAATTTTAAATAATCTTAATTATTCGTATTTCGTTGTGTTTTCTATTCTAATTTTTATTTTTGGATTATAACTCAATATGGTATAAACAAAATGCGAACGACAAGTTGCAAAATTAAGAAAGAATTAATTATTCCAAAAACTATCAGGATTAATTGATACAAAAGATTCAGTTATCATAAGGATTAGAAAGAACAATTTTTTCACAACTCAAAAAAGAAGTTAATGCCTCATTCCAGGCCCATGCTTTCAGTAAAATAGTTATCTTGTCCTAGATCATTTCCTTTTCATCTCGTTTCACACCCTTTTCCATAACTTTATTACTTATAGGGAAAGTTTGTGTTAGCAATAACTCTATTCTCTTATTTCCGATTATTTATAAACCAGACAAAACATACCTAACTGAATTAGAAAAATCCAGGGGAGTAGTTTTATGGAAGTATTATATTCAAAAATGTACGGGAATTAATTTATTGAAAATGTAATTTATAATATTAAAAATAAAGTGGCAGGAAATATATCCGCTTAAAGAAGTGATAGGATGAGAAGGGAAGGATAATTATTTATGGTGATATAGTGAATACAAGTGAAAAGACCGACTAAACATGATAAGTATCTTCCAAAAAAGCTATGTTGTCCACAAAGGTTTAAAATTTTGTGAAGTCTGAATGAGAGAGTATCACTTGATGATGATAGAATAATTTTAAAATCATATTGATAACGCTCTGAAAGCAAGTTCACATTGTTTGAATTCATAATAAATTTTTGAAAACTTCAAAAAGGTCCTTCATTTCTTAAATATTATTTGGAAAAATTGATTTTTGCGCAATTTATGTCGAAATTTAAATATTATTTGCTAAAAAATTTGAATATTATTTCTAAAATGATTAACATTTTTATTGCATGACTAATTTATTTTAATCCTTCTGGATTACATCACTGATTCTCTGGAAAAAAAACAAGTGAAAAGCTTTATATTCTTACAAATTAATTTGCTGTAATCTAGGAAAAGATTGATATTAATTAATGAGCATTAATATCTCAAGAACCGACTATGTCAAACTATAACTCCAAAGTAGAAAGCAAAGCTTAGAAATACGAACACAGAGCGTCGTGGAGATTGTTGAATAAATAATTATTGTGAAGTGATCGGTGGGATGAATATTTTGTTCAGACATATCGTTTGACTAGCATTGAAAGAGACGCAGATTTTATCCCAGGCAGAAGACCGGAGCATTGCCTCGGGTGCTTTTTCACATTATTACTTATCATCCTCTAACATTTTATCCAGAAAATCATTTTCTACTTCTTATATTCTACCGTATCACACACGTACAGGCATATATATATATATATAATGAAATTTTGAAAATTACAGTTTTACTTATTACTATCAAAGAAATGATTTTTCTAGATGTAATTTAGAAACGAATTTTTTAACTTAATTCTATTAAACTACTTTAAAAAGCAAATCTCCTAAAAAATTTTTATCCTGATCATAGTAAGTAAATATATAAAGGGACGGCACAAATCCTTGCTAACTATAAATGAAATTATTTTAAAATTGGTTTGTGAGCTGGCTGAAGCCCTTTTTTACGGGTAATACCTGTGTGATTATTTCAATTAAAACCGTTTTCCAGGTCGTATACTATTGGATGTGCCTTGTCGGGTGTGTCAAGATCATTCATCAGGAAAGCATTATGGAATATTTAGCTGTGATGGTTGTGCTGGATTTTTCAAGGTTTTTAACTACACTTTTTTGCATATTTTATTTATTCGTTTGTTAATGTTTTTGAATTCTTTGATACTCTTTCAATTAATTTCATAAGGATTTGAACAATTATCAAAGAATTTCAAATCACTTGATTACAGCGTTCCATCCGACGGCATCGTCAATATGTATGCAAAAATCGAGGTGGTGGCGAAGAAGGTAAATGTTTGGTGGATAAAACACATCGTAATCAATGTCGAGCATGTCGCCTAACAAAATGTTTGGAGATAGGCATGAACAAAGAAGCAGTACAGCACGAAAGAGGCCCAAGAAATTCAACCATGCGAAGGCATATCGCTTTTTATTCGTCACCATCTTCTACTGGAGAAAGATCTGTAAGTTTTAGCTTTTGTGATCTATCAGTTGTCTATTTCACCAATTGCTTACATATTCTTTTAATCTTTTTTCTATCATTTTTTAAATTAAGTATATATTATAAGTATGTAGTATATATAATTGAGTATTTATATATATAAATGGAACAATTGTCCACATATAATGTATTAAAACTTCAGTAAAATGAGATGGAAATGAAGCAAGGGTTTCCAAGAAAAAAATTTGATAAGCTTTTTTTGAAGCCCGAATTTGGATCAGAATCAGATTCTTCTGTATCATGTACAATCAATGAAATATCATCAACAACAAAAGATGCTGCAGCTCGTTTATTTTTTCAAATTTTACATTGGTCCAAATCGCTGATTGCTTTCGCTTGCTTATCTCCTCAAGAACAAGTACCAACTTTCTTCTCTTTTTTGTAATTTGTTAAGTATGACATGAAAGTTGCTTATTATTTTTCGTTCATCTCATCGGCTTACACATTTCCTCACTTCTTTCTATTGGAGCTTCGATACTATTAAGTTTTTTAAAAAGTACATGATACATGCCAATTTTTCTTGCGGGAAGCTTTTCATAAGTTTTCTGGAGAGGTCAGTGCTACAGTTCATTTATCTTTCCAAATTTTACATTAGTCCAATCGTCGATTTTCATAGCACTACAACCATGGCAGAAGCAATAAAAAGGAGTGAAACGCATAGCATCTGTGGCAGAACGTATCAATTCTTGATGGTATCAGAAAAACTAAGTCTAAGCCACTGTGTCACTTCTGTCATAAACCGTTCGATCAGTATGGAACTTCAAAATCGTTTGATAGTTATGAATACTAAATCTTACCACTCCCAAAAAATAGGTCTTTAAGGTCAAAAATTCGAGGATTTGCACATAATTGCTTTAGTGATCACTTAATAATTTTCATACGGTTAATTTATAACAAGTCTTCTGCAAATTATTTATACCAATTTAGATTTAACTTACTTATAACGAAATGTATTGATTTTAGGTAGCAGCATTTACATCTTCGTGGGGTGTACTTTTTCTGCTCTCTGCTGTGGAAAACCGTTTCCTTCAAAGTAGTGTCTTGGCAAATGAGCGGACAATCAATATCCAAATGAGGATGAAACTTTTGTCAGCAGTAAGTCAACTGGAACAGTTAAGGCTAGATTCCACGGAATATAATCAATTGCGTCTTCTAAGTCTTATCAAAGGTATTCATTTCATGAATAATTTTAACAAAAGTAAGGAAGAGGCAAATGAAAAGAAGCATTGATTCCTTAAGTAAAAATGAGACTTATAAAGAAATTTCGGCTATACCATTTTAATTGGATTTCACAATCTTATCCTCATATCGTCTTGGGATTAGTCACCACATTCAGTATCTATATGATGTCCATAAATTTCAGGACGCAATCCGCAAATGGAACAACTGACGGCATTTAATTTCGCGCAACATCAACAAATTACTTATCCATGCCAACCGTTGCGATACATTTCTTGCATGGTACTCCTGGAAACGATGCCACAATTCGAGACAATTCTCTCCGAACTTTATTTCAAGCAATCGATTGGTAATGCATCGATGTCTGCGCTAGTCGCTGACATTTTATTGCCTAAGGAGATGAGATCGCAAAGGATTCTATCGAAACAATAATTCTCTGTTTGCGATTGGATAGTAAGATTTTGTTGTCAACTTTAATGCTTCTTTCTTTTCCTGCTATACTTTCTGGATTATCAGCTAGGAATATCAATTAAAATCATGGAATTGTAAAAAAAAAAACAATAACGGGTTAAGAGCTTTATTATGTTTATGTGAAAGAAAAAGAATTATTAGCATTCTGCTATGAATCAAAAAATTTTAATGTGAATTTTACCGGTAAATGTAGTAAACTATTGTTTACTAGTGTGATCAAGGTTTATTGTATCAATATCATACTTGCTGTGGCCAGGAGCGTTAAAAATGTCCTATCACTCATTTTTTTTATTTTTTTTGGTGGCGATATGATTGCATAAGAACATACCGTATGCATTCCGAGACAAATTTCAAGATACTAGTTCAGGCAATTTGTTTTGTTTAAAAATTCTAGAAATCTGTTCAGTTGTCCCTGAACATTATCCAAATGTAGTCGCTTCCTGCGGGCATCAAGGTGCTCATTTCCGGTGTTTTGCAGGAGATATTTGCTGCACTCTGTCCCAGTCTGATATTAGTTCGGTGATTTGGCATTATATATGTATTTGTTTTCTTTTTTTGGCATAATCTTTAGAAAGAAATGTTTTTATTCACTCGAAAATATTCTTTATATTTCAACACAACAAAAGCAACAAAAACATATGGACGCTGCTCCTTAGATAAATATAATAGTTTAGGCCATTAAATCAACTTGTTTGATGGGATGACATGATAACAGGATCATACATGCCATGTAAATAAGCACTCTATCTGGAAGAGATTCGTAGTTGTGCTGACTTTATTGTCCAAACTTCCTGTTTCAGTGCTGAAAGAAACACACTTCACTGTATCATTCCAACTCTTCATTACTTTTCATTTTTTGCGACGCATGGAGGTGTGAGCAGGTCAGTAGTTTTAGTAAGAAAGCACAAGAACTAGTGCGGGAAAAATTGCTTTTTGATAATTTGAGATTTTTGGAGAAATGAATTTTTTGTTGATATCAATATGAGTTGATAATTAACTATCTTAGTCTGTTCATTATTAATTATAAAATTGGAGTTGAGAATTTCATATTAAATATTATCTTGTTTCATTTGCAAATCTTTTAGAACTATTCAGATTTTCCCTGCATGAAGGAAGAAATATGGTAGAGATAATAAATGATACTGTCACATAGTTAATCACTTTGAGCACAGCTGCTCATTGTATTTGGCTTTGAAAGAACAGTCAGAAGATTATTACAATTTACAATTCAATACAAAACTTCGTGTCTTTCCGCGAAAATGTTTACAGTGGAATAGACTCACAGCGGGTAACATTGTTAGCACACCTTCTTCGCACAATTAATCTTCCTTCTGCTGCGTTCTGCCAAACATCAATCATATGCCAATTATCAAAATTACATTAAATATTTTGGCCTATTTGTCATAAGAATATAGACCTCACAATACAATTTATGTTTTTTTTTTTATGAATAACTTTGAGGAAGGGGTTTGGAAGAAGAAGAAATAAGGATGAAGGAGAAGTGCTACATTGAATTCCTACATATCATTTGTTGCTAGCAGATAGATACTAATAAGAAACAAAGTGATTTATGGATTGTAAGGAATTAGAGACACATTACTTGGAATTTCAGTAATAAATCTTCATGATCAACTAACTCCTTACAGTATCCCATGAGATTTGTTTACAATACAGAGTGATACGACAAAAAGCGAACTTTCTGGAACGATGCCGACAAATCTAGAAAGTATGTATCAATAGCTCAGGTAATCGGATGAGTGGAAAACAAAGAGTGCTATTCAAACATGCAAGGAAATGCTAATCCTGATTCTTTTCTGAAGTACTATAAGTACCAAAAAATGAAAAAGTAGAATTTACCGAAAGCAACTTATTTACAATGCATTCCATGATTTATGTGTTTATAGGACTGAAACAATTTATTGACGTTAATGCAGAACTTAATTCTTTTACGTACGTTTGCCGACTTTTTGTGTATAAATAGAAAAGATCATTGGTTATTTGCCCTCAAAACTTCACACAAATTTATATTTTGACATGAGAATCATTAAATAAATTAAAAATTGTAGGATTTAAAAAGAAATGCTTACATGTTCAACAAGAAGCACCTAATATGCGCACACTTTACTCTCATAAAATGAAGAAGATATCAAAAACAAAGGTATATTAACCTTTTACAATTGTTATTTGAAACTGCAAATATTCAATATGATAACTATTAACTAGTTACGGTGCACTGCTGGTAGTGATATGTGACACAGCACCCCACCGCACGTAGCACAGATAAAGATTACACCTCACTGATATTGTCAGATCTATTGCAATCATTTACTTATTTTTTCTATGTGTCTTAATATAGCGTTTTAATTTTTGTTAAATTTGAGTTTATCCGGAAACTTTTCTATTTTTATCTTTTTTTCTCACTGCATTATCAGAAAATCAATTTTTTGTGATCTTGAAAAAACCCCATAATTATCAATAAAATTTACAGTAATAAAAGGTCATGTTTGTGTAGGTCATGTTAATTACATGCATGTACATTATTTTGAGATACTCTGAATGAATAAATGCTTGAACAACGAATTACCATTGCAATTAAGAGAAGGGAATAACCGAGCAAATTGCACCATACAGAAGGAAGTAACTCTGAACAAATTGCACCATTTAAATTGGCAAATTAAACTTCAAAAATTTTAGCTTTTGAAAGAGTGTGAAAAAATGGCTATTTTCTCACCGAAACCAGAAAATATTTGAGGGTATGAATCATCAGAATACCATCGAAAACGAGGCCCGAAAGGAAAAATACAAACACAATTCAGGTTCGCAGAAACGAGATAGTGATTTCGCTACAATGCAAGTCTCAAATCTTAAATAAGGATCGACAGAATATCTAAGGTTTAACACATTGTGGTGATGTGTTTTGAAAAGGATGATAACAAGTAATCAGCATATAAATGCAACTACTAACCTTCTGCTCCTGCTGACTTTTGTTAAAATAATTGAAATTACGAGTTTGCTCTGCAATGGGGAAAAGTATCGCTTTGTACTCTCGTAGCAATTATTTTGGTTACAGAATTTATATCAATTATCATCGTTGTCAGTTACATGATGGGGTATTTTATGATATAAGTCCCATATTGAAATCGATATAATTTAGTAAGTCCCATGTTGGAATAAATATAATTTTTTAAAAATTTAGTAATGCATGACAAAAACTAATATTTAGTATCAATTTTTTTTTCTATCTATAACTAACTTGGAAGTTTTAATGATGTTGAAATTGTTGCTGATGTATAATATGACTTGAACGAATCATATGGTTTGAATTTAATTCCTGTCTTAAATCTAATTTTGAAGTAATAGTTACGGCAGTTTATAGCAACAGAGTTCAAATCAATTAGTTTATCAATAATCTTCTTTTCGTTGCAAAATTTAACAGGATTCGTTATCACTCTATGGAAATCAGATTT